GCTAATTTTTCTATTTTTAGTAGAGACAGGGTCTTGTTCTTGCTCAGGCTGGTCTCGAACCCCTGAGCTCAAGCGATCCTCCCAGCTCAGTGTCCCAGAGTGCTAGGATTACAGGTCTGAGCCACCACGTCTGGCCCTAAAGGACTCTTTTAAAAACTGATTTAACTATTAAAAGAAACTTTTCCTAACATATGATATTACTTAATAATTTTGTTAGTTTGAATTTGTTTTTTAAAATATATTTTGACAAATAGGCCAAAAGTCCACAATATCTTAAAAGTCCACAAATCAGTTAAGAAAAATGAACTTAACAGATAAATGTACAAAAAGATGCTCAGTCTCACTAATAAGATAAAAATAAACAAGAAATTTATGTATTTTTATGTTTATCAGACTGAAAAGATTTTTATGTCTATCAAGAGTGGCAAGAGTTCAGGAAAACAGGTACTATTGGTAGAAGTTTGAAAGTGGTTCTACACATTTAAAAAGTGTACTCTTTTATTGCAAATTTTTCATTGACATACAGCACACATACAGGAAGGTACAAAATCATAAGGTAAACAGTTCAGTGAATTTTCACAAAAGGAAAAGGCCCACCTAACCAGCACCAGTATTGAGAAACAGAGCTAAACCAGAATTCCTGAAATTTCCTACATGTCCCATTCCCATTATTACTTTCCCCTCAAAGGAAACCACTATTCTGACTTCTAATACCATGGATTAATTTTGTCTGTTTATGAACTTTAATTAAATGCAATCATACACTATATATTATGTCTGGCTTCTTTAGCTCAACATTGTTTTTAAGATTCATCTATGTTGCTACACTTAGCTGTAGTTCATTCATCCTCTTTGCTGTAGAGTATTACTTTTTATAAACATATTATAATTTATCCATTCTACTGTTAGTGGACATTGGGTTGTTTATAGTATTTTCTTTTTCCTACTGCCTGCATAATTTCAGAATGTTTATAGTATTTATTAAAATAGGGCTACTATTAACATATGTTCATGTCTTTTGGTGAACATATGTACATATTTATGTTGGATATATACCTAGAAGAGGAATTGCTGGACCACAGTATGTGAATAATGTTCAGCTTTAATAGACTCCCAGAGTTAGGGTCTATTTGTAGTTTTCCAAAGTGGTTGTACAAACTTACATTCCCAACAGCAATGTAGTAAAGTTCCAGTACAATATATTTTTGAGGAGAAATTAAATAATATATACTAAAATTTAAAACATGTATAAGCTTTGACTCAGCAATTTTACTTTAAAAAAGGTATACTGTAGAAAAACTTACGTATGCAAATATATAATTGTTTTTACTGCAGAACTGTAATTGAGAAAGACTGCAAATAATCTAAATGTTTACATAGAAAGAATATGTTAAATAAATTATGGCATATCCATACACTAGAATACTTACATCACCATTAAAAAGGATAAGGAAGACCCATAAACAACTGTAAGAAAGATATCAGCATTGTATCAGCTGAATCCGAAACACAGGCTAAAGAATAATTCACAGAAAAAAAAATACACATAGAAAGATAGACACCAAATTGTTAATGAGAAT